CTGTGGTTCCTCTAGCTCAGTGGTTCTCAACAGGGGATGATTTTGTCCCCTAGGGGACATTTGGCACTTCCTAGAGACGTTTTTGGCTTTCACAATTGGGGGTGAGGGCTGGGAGAGGGTACTGCTGACATCAAGTAGGAAGAGGCCAGGAATGCGGCCCCAGATCCCACAGCACACAGTACAGCCCCCTCCTTCCTGTAACAGAGCAGCATCTGCTCCAAAAATACCAATAGTGCTGAGCCTGAGAAACCTGGCTCTAGCTGTTGAGATTTAAACAATGTGAAATAAGGCCACTTGTTAGGAAAATTCAGACTACAAAGAAAGATAATATTCTTTCAGTTGAAAAAGGTATCGATGATATTAAAGAACATTTTAAGAGAATTCTCTATAACCCTACCATCTTCATAAGACCAGTTTCTGTTTAGCATATAACCTTCAACTTCTGCCCAAATGAATAGAGAAGTTTATAAAATTACAATTATGTATATACAATATTACAATTATGTATATATATTTTGTATTCTTATTTCCACTTAAAAATATCACTTTCATAATCTTTATGTCATTTTACTAGAGAAGATTTTATTGTTTTAATATAGTAGAATCTATTAAACTCTTCTCTTTTTATTTCTTTCCTTCATTTTTTGTTTAAAGTAACATGGGTAAAAGCAAGTACTCCGGTCTGAAATCTGGCTTTGGAGACCTGGATATGGGGTACTCTGGAATGATTTTACAACAATAACTATTTTCCAAGAAATAACTACCTTCAGAACATTCTAAGAAATTGTTGTGACGTAAATATTTTTGTGCAAGAAACATTTCACTACTTACATATTTTTTAAAATTAAAAAAAAAAAACTTATGTTTCCCCTCTGCCCCTCAGAATGCATTAGAGCAACACTATGGCCTAACTTAATAAAAGACGCACAGTGTGAAACCCTGGCTTCTTCAGGGTGGAGACCTCTTCGCCTCTGGGGCAGGGAAACATGTAGCCTGGACTGTTGAAGCCCACACAGCATCACCAAGAGGAGAGAACAGAATCTCGCTGAACAAATCAGGATGTAAAAGAGAAAAATGCCAAAATTCATGCTGATGAACGTAATTATAACCACTTTTCAGTACAATGAATCAGAAAATGTTTATATTTTAACGTATATGAAAACTATTGGAATTCAGCTGGATAGACTGAGTCTAATTCCTGCCTGAAATCCCTATGTATCCTAGGGTCACCTGAGTCTTCCTGCACTTCAAAGTCCAGATAGTATTGCCTAGAAACCCAATCCCACACCTTGTGGGATTATTAAGCACTTGCCAAGATTCTTGCAAATTTCTGGAAGGCTTATGACTCTGAGTTAGTTCTCATTTCTCTGGATTAATTCAGTTGATGGGTCATCTCATCTTTTCCCACTTGCTTTTCTGGTCTACTGCACCTGCTCAGACAGATCTTATCTCCTAACTCAATCTTTAGCCCTTGACTCAACACAGATAACCCCCAAATTCACTATCCCCCCATAGTGTGTATCGCCTGTCACACCCCTTGGTGAAGATAGGGGAGAGATTATAACAAGTAACACCAACAACTTCGAAGTACATAGTAAACATAGCAGTTAACCAAAGGGCTTTTGATCTCTGCGCCATTGGGGACTTTCATGACAGTGCTCATATGGCAACCCCTGTTCCTGCACCCTCTCTTAGCTTGCTTGTCATCCCCTTCCTCCAGATGGCCCTAAATTGTTCACACTAAGTTATACAGAGCAGGTCTGCTCTCTTGAGTCCCTACTTCCAAAACCAATTCCAGGTCTCCCTTTTGCATCTCAAAACAAACCAAAAAAGCCTTCAATTTCACTGGACCTACATTTTTAGAAGCAGTTATTGTTCATAGCAATTTATTTTCCTTTTGTACATCTATGTAAACTTTAATTCCTTTGAAAAGCCAGTTCTGAAATATAAGCCTGTGCATATGTCTATACCTATATCCATGTGTCTAGTAGAAAAGCAGCTACTTGACTGGATTGAAGTACATGGTCTCCGACTACAGGGCAAGTTAGACGCTCACATATCCTGTGTTCTGCTTTGGATCACAATTTCCCTCTTTTTAGCTCTACACTGTGCAGTCTGACATTCAAGGGATTCCTTCCATGCATTGCCCCACTTTTTAGCCTCATTTTCCAAAGTTTGTCTCTCAAGTGATCTCTCCTGTGCTCGTGTGTGTTTGCAGAATGTGGTTGAACATAGAGACCATAATTGACTGACTTATGAGTCCTTGAGTGATGGGTCTGAGGTGGCTTCTTCCATGTGGTTCATTTCTCCAGCTAGTTTTTAGCCTCTGTAAAGACAGTGATGCTAAAGTCTCTCTCTTTAATCCCCCAGTACCTCCTGGGAATAGATTTTCCATAATACTGTCAACCGTTTCCTCAGATTCGCTTATGCCACAAATTCATTCACTCTGCAGACATTCGTTGCCTTCTGTGGGCTCAGAGGTGGGGACACAGCAGCAAATGAGACAAAAGTCTTGCCCTTCTAGGGTTTATTTCTAGTTGAGTTGTGCGATGGTGGAATACTTTAGTGCTGCAGGTATGCTGGTGACACCAAAACAACACATTCTCGTTTCAGAACTACAGTAAACTCCTATTAGGGTTGAATGCGGTGAACGGAAACAATGAAACTTGTTACCTAGTGACATGGTCTTCATCTCAGCACCAAGTCTACCCACCAGTCACAGCTGTTTTTTCTCACAGTGATTTGTGTGTGGATACTGTGAAATCTTTCTCCTTTAGAATAGTTTGTCTGTAACAAAAAAACAGTATATGTTAGCTTTTCAAATGATAGGCCTGCAAGCTGGAAAAAATAATAATAAAAAAAAAGTGATAGCCCTGAAACTTGAAGTTCCTCTTCACTCTTGGTGAAATGACCACACCTGCTCGTATATATGTGATAAGGAAGAAAAGTCAGAAGACATAAAGAATTTTACCATGCCTCAAGCTAAATATAAACTGAAAAATATAAATGGCATGCCTTGATTCATTATGTGAATAAAATGCCACTCCAAACCTAATGAATAAACTTTCCTATTTTAACACTTCCTGGTTATACTGTGCCCCTTTTATGATGGGAAGCTTTGGCAAAGAAGCAAGAAAAATTAGAAGCTATTATTAATACATTGACAATGAAGGTTATTAACTAAGAAAATCGGCAAAAGGATTCCCTTCTCTACAAGCATGCAGCATCTCAATAAGCGAATAAGCATACACACACAAATATTATCAGAAGCAGTTTATTCTAAACATTATTTTTCTAGGTTATCCACTTAACTCACCCTCTGAGATTTATAGTTCAATCATACCAGTTCAGAGTGGAAAGAAAAAAGGCCATTTATCTAATCCTATTCCTTGCGAAAAAATACTTAGGCAATATTAAGAATCTTCAATTATCTAATTTAATAAAAGGGATGATTTATAGTCTGTAGTTAGTAACATGTGATACTGATTATTTCTAATCCCTTAGAAGAGATCTGACATTATGCTTTTGGTCCTGTGTAGCATGAAATCGTCATGTATATTTTACCAAAAGAAGTTACAAGAATAATGGCCTCTGCAGTCTGTAGTCATTTTATACTAACACACTGCAACATGGTTTTGCCCTGGGGCAGAGAAGTAGGGATTTTTCTCTACTTCAAAAGAATGAAAAATTATCATCACTCTATCCAGAACCATTACAGACTTCAGAGACTTTGGCATGAAATATTCAGAAAGTTTATTTTAGAATTCAATATTTTAAAAGCCTGCTTTAAAACTATTACAGTGATTAGTGGCTCTCTTGCTTGGGCCAGTCTTCGTTTTAAAAAGTCCTGTGTCATGGTTGATACTATTTGTTGTTTCAACAAAATATATTAATATATTAGCTACCTATAAGGGATGCAATACATTGTTTCGAAATATCCCCCAAAGAGCAATTGTGACCACTACTGATCAGTTATCTTTACAAACACTTTTTAAGGAACATTTCTTTTACTGGTAACAGTTTGTATTGCTTATGCTGTGACTTTGTCCTTCTGACATGTGTTATCTTAACCACATGGAGTGGGTGCCATTTCTCTGCTCCCCGCTCAGGGAGCGATTCCCCTGTTTCAGCAGCTCTAGGGACACACAGGGACAACCCAGCTGAGGCCACTCACACCTTCAGCTCATATCTTCATCACTCTTCGTAGGAGTCTGAGAAGCTTATCGGGTGTTGGTGAGGATGTAACAGAGCTTCCGAGGCCCTGAATGAAGCCACTGAAAACTTCTGGAGGGAGTGTTAGCCACGTGGGAATGGCAATCTAATCACTTCTCTCTGGACTAGCCTATTTGTGTAGGGAGGCAAGGTGGAATAGAGTGTAGAGCCCTGGATTTAGAATTTAATGGTCCTGGTTTGAGTTCCAACACTGCTACTTACTGGCAGTGTGATCTCAAGAAAACTGCTGAGCCTCCATAGCCGCCTTAAGCCTCAGTGTCTGTGTCTGTAAAATGGACCCATCCCAGCGATGGCACAAAGATTCAGTGAGCCAAGGAATGTGTAGAATGTGCTATGCGGGATGTCAGCCATTGTCCCAGTCATTATTATCTAATCCCTTCTTATCTTATCTCTTGTTTGTTTGTTCCACATTTCTGTTATGTAATGCGTATATATTTTTTGATATATCCAAGAAAGACTCACAGGAGAACTAGAAAAACAATCATTCCTCTTTTTCTTATTTAACCTATGCATTTGGCTTCGTTCCTTTAAATATGTCAAATACATTATTTCTGTAGGTTTTAATAAATACCCTTTCTTTTCTCCTCACCTTATTGAGTAGGTATTCTCAGTGTAAGAAAAAAGCAGGCATCAATTTTGGCCTTCAAGTAAATAAAGTAGGTTCCTCTCTCACTCAGACACGCAAAGAAATCCAGATTCTAATATGCTCGCGATGCATAGGCGCTGATGAGGATAATGTGTAAGTAGCTTTTTGTTTCATTTTCTAGGGAAGTAGATCAAGACTCAGATGGTCACGTCAGCTTTAGAGACTTCGAATATGCCATGAAGTATGGACAAAAGGAAGCTTAACCATTGTGAACTACTTTTGGCAATTCTGGGGCGATTGTAATGTTGTTTAAAGGTCAAACAGACTCCACTCTACTAATGATACAATGCTACATCCTTGTGATTAAACTCTTAATTGTAACTTTTGGATGCTGATGATAGGCTTGCATCTGAGAATCCCAGGGCTGGTCGGCACCGGAAGTCTCCCTCTGTGTGGCCACCAGCCAAGTCAGGCCACCAGTGCTGGCACTGCCACCCCATGGTCCCCCTGCCCTTCACGCTTATCACCCCCCACACACACAGTGCAGGCCAGGTGCACCAGGCCCAGGGCGCCACTCATTCACCGCCCTGCGTCAGGTCCTGATTCTACCAGCTCCTGATGTCTGGGGAGGGGCAGCTTTTCCCCCACCAGTGGTACCCTTTTCCTTCACTCACTCAACTTTGGTTAGACACATAGCTGCACCGACCGTACTAAGAGCTCACTATGCTCCTAGCAAGGAGCAGGACTTTGGGAAAACAGACTTAAGACCGCTCTAACATAATGTTCCGGAATCCAAATCTTTATTGCAAAGTGGCCCCAGGCTGTGCAAGGCAAAGAAACCAGATTGGGCTAACACAAGCAAGTGCTCCCCAGCTGTATACGGAGGAAGAACTGAGTGTAGTAGGGGTACTGGGGCGAAAGACACATTCCCAGAACCCTTTAGGGCAGCCTGGGCCTGGGCTGCCCAGCTCCAGCTCTGGGTGTTTGTGTCCTGTACCCGGAACCTCAGCCACCACGTGGTCATGTCCTCCAAGCCCTGCCTGTCCCTTGGGGCTCTGGTGACTGCTGTACTGGAGCAGAAACACTCGACATTTATTTAGAGTAATTCCAAAATACTGGTATCAATTCTAACATTTTATTTATAAGTGTTCAGAATACATAACATTAACAACATTAGTAAAACAATATTTAATATACTTCACATTTTAAAAGTGTTAAACGTTTAAAGGTCAAGTAAAATGTAAATTTGTTAAATAGAAGCATTAAACAAGCAGGATTCTTATCCAAAGTATTAGCAAAAAACCTCAATAAAAATAAAGTTTTAAACTGTCATAAGCAAGAGGAGCCTAAGGAGACGTGACAGCTAAATTGGGACCCTGGATGGCATCACAGAACAGAAAAAGGACATTAGGGAAAAACGAATCAAGTGTGGACTTTAGCTAATATTAATGTATCCATACTGGTTCCATACTCATACGACACATTAATAATGGGAAAGTGGGTGAGGGGTATATGGGAACTCTGTTCTAATTTCAGTTTCTCTGTAAATCTAAAACTATTCCAAAAATAAAATAATAAATAATAACGTTAAAAAAGTCATATTCAAAAACTAATGAGCCAAACTTTATCTAAAATAAAGAAAACATTGAACATCAAGTACAAATAAAATATTGTTTCAACAACAGGGTGGATCAATGGTGTCATTGAGTAGTGTTTGTGTTTTTGTACAAATTGTTCCAGTTGATGAAAAGCCCTTTCTGCCTTTGGGTAGAGTTTTGTTCAGCTAGTATTTTCATCATAAATTGAATCATTGAATCCTTGATCCTGATCTCAAAACATAAATGATACAGATTTTAGATTTTTTAACTATTAAAATTCGAGTAATACAGCAAACAAGTGGCGTTATTCAGTAATCACCACAATGCCAAAACCTCGTATTGTGGTCACTGCTTGGACTTCATTTCTCTTGGGAAATATGACGAGGGGAGGGGAGGGTCACGTCCCACGCCTCATGTGGGAGGCAAGAGGCCAGGTTGGGAAAGGCTATTGGGCAACTCCCTTGGCCCTGGATTAGTCAAGGCTCTTTTTGGTCTCAATGGCAGAAACCTACCCAAACTAGCTTGGACTGCCAGAGAATTTACTGGAAAACACAAGGCTAGCTTATGGAGCCTAACACAGAGGCAGTGGTGGTGCTGGGTTCCAGGATAACCGGAACCAGCAACACAAGCACCTCCAGACTCTGCCTCTCTTCCATAGTCACTGGAACTGGCCCATGATCCATCCAGTTCCAAGTCTGGAGACCCCAGGAAGAGGCTTTGGCTGGGCTCCTGGATCAATCAACTCTGGTTCAGCCAGAAATATGGCCATGGCCACTGCGGGCTCACTCCAGTGTACCAAGGGTGGGTCACAGAGGGGGAAGCTGGTGAGATCTGGGCAGCAATTCCATCTTCTTCCTCAGAAGAAAAGAACATGGCTGGGGCCCAGTCCAGGAGGGAGCACAACCCTAGGGTTTGCTGCTTAGGGTGATCCAGGCTCTCAGAGCAAAGACAAGAAGAAAGAGGGAGAATGAGAAGCTGCTCATGTCACCTCCCCTTCTTACCACTTACCCTAGGCCTGATCCAATTCCTCATCCCATGAGCTTTTCCCCCCAGCTTCTCACTTCCAGGTCCCAGGTGCTACCCTTGTCCACATGCTACTGTCTGTGCAGATTGGCCTTGTTGATCTGACCTCAGCTGAGCGGCCCCAGGGTGAGCATCTGTGCAGGCTGATCAACTCAGGCTCTTCCCTCAGAAAACATCAAGAACGAGACATGGCAGTGCTTCCAGGTGGCCAAGCAAGGGCCTCTGCCTCAGGAGCAAGTGGCAGATGTGGAGTGGAGTGAGGCGGCTGGTTTGCATCGAGAGCAGAGCAAGGAAAAATAAACACCAACAGGGCAGCAAGAAAGGAGACAGAAGCCCTATGGTGCTTGGTTTCTGGTTAAAGCTTTCTCAAGGCCCAGTCCTAACCCTCTGGGTCCTGTGAGGTAACCCTGTATCCTTCCAATAAATCCTGCTGCTCAAGCCAGCTGGAATTGCTTTCTGTGATTTGAAACCAACAGAATCTTAACTGTTGTAAGCATGGGGCCAAGGACGGAGGCCTAGGCAGCAATTACATTACTGGGGCAGCAGAGAAGAGTCTTCTAAAGAGACTAGGAAGCAGCGGTTGAAGATGGAAGAGGAAGTTGTTGCTGCTTCTCTCAGTGGTGCCCTGCCACTACTTGACCTCTCACTGTAACCCAGCTCCAGTCTTCTCTGTTGCAGCAGCTCTCAGAAGTGGTTACCAGTGAGCTACAAATGGCCAAACCCAACAGGCCCTCTCTGACCTCATTGCACTTGGCCCTTCCCCTGGGTCTGCCCTGACAGCTGTGCCTTTGAAATTTTTCTCTTTTAGCCTCTATGACATGGGTCGCTCATGGTATTTCCATGCCCATTTTTTCCTACTGTCTTTTCCTGTTTCCTCTTCTACAGCCATCCCATAGTGCTAGTATTCTCCAAGGTCCTGTAATTGGCCAATCTTCTCGATCAACACATTCTCCAAGGATGATTTCACCCACCGCCGAGATTTCTGCTATCATCTTTATGAGTATGACTCCACAAACAAGTCTTTAGTTTTGACCTCTGTTCAACCCCAGACCCATGTTTTCATTTGCCTGTCAGACATTTCCACCTCGATGTAAATGCATTGAACTAAAATCAGACCCGTTCCCCTCATTTTCGAAGTTGGTTTCCCATTTTGTGTTTTCTATTTCTGTTCATAGCCACCAACCTGTCCTCCACCCAAAGCTGTCATCCAAGCCAGCTGCCACAGAGTTCAAGTCTCCCCTACCTTCCTTAGCTCGGACATCCAGCCAGTCACTGCATCCTTCTAAGCGTGTGTCTGTAAAACATTCATGACATTGTCTTCCATTCCTTCCCGATCTCTCTGCACATGCCCTTATTCTCCCTCCAATCCTTCCATCCAGTAATTTGTTCTTCTGTCATTCACATAAAAATGAGTAAAAGATGTGCAAGTAACAAGCAGGCCCTGCTGTCAAGAAATTTTAGTTTAGCCTGTCCGTTATCTTCCCAAAGCACAGACAAAATTACTTTTTCTCTGCTCAAAAGCTTTCGGTGGCCACATTTTCTATTGGACAATGTCTAAACCTATAATATACCATTCAAAGCCCTCTGTAATCTGGTATCGATTTCTATTTTCAGTTTCATTGTGCACAACTACCTCTACAATACCACTCACAACCAGGTAAACTCGCACATACACACAGCCCCTTCACCCAAATACACCAAGATAGCAATAGATCTTTGCCCAAATCGAAAAGTGACAATCCTGGAATTAACATGTGATGAGTTAATAGGAAAATGCAACCATAAAATAATGAAACTCATTTTAAAAAACATATTGGACCACCTTCATCCTAAGGAGTATTTTTCCCATCACAGTTGTCATCTTGGGAAGGGGGAAGGGGAACTAGTTATGCTAGGTATTTTGTATATTTTATTTCATTCTCAAAACTATTGCAGTAAATATTAGTCATCCTGTTTTATAAATGAGGGAACAGTCTCAAAGAGTCTAAGTAGCTTGACTCAAGCCAAGTGATGGGGATGGGTGGAGAGTGTCGGGGTGGTGACACAAACCCGTCAGCCTGACTAAAAACATATGCCTTTCCTACTATGCTACATTACCTCCCATGGGAAAATCAGCTATGACATTGGTTCCTATTCAATGGTCACACTTTGTTTTTGACCTAACATGAATTTACCCAGATTCATTCGCCAAGTCAAGCCTCTAGCACATAGTAGGTATTAAAAATGAATTCCCATCTTATGTATCACTAAACTTAGCCAAAATTACATTGGGTTATTCATCGAATACACTTTCAAAAGACCAAGATTAAATGTGCTGCAAGCTCTAAAGGCAACACTCAAAATGCAGTTTTAGGAATGCTCTGAACAACGGAAGCATCTGTGAGACAGGTGTGCATTCTCACTGGGCAACACTCACTTAGGTCTGTAAATCCTCTCTACTTGGTATTCACACTTCACTTACAGAATTGTAATTTAGGATTAATAAAAACAAACTGTTGGCTACTTTCCTTTTTCTTAGCTTGTGACTTTTGAGAAATTTATTTGGAACTGCAAAATTAGGCAGTTAGAGAACACCATACACACACACACATTGAAATTCAATGCCATTATTAATAGCAGCTCACAAAGTAACCTTTCTTACA